GGGGGGCTCGGATACTTTATACGGGAATCTAATCAGGGTGCCCGTTTTGTGGGGTTGGAACTTCAAAAGGGAATCTAAGCAGGGTACCTTTTGGGGTTGGATACTTAATAAACGGGAACGTCGAGCCGACGTTAAAAAAAGGGGGGCAAAAGTCTACCACTGGGCAACCAAGTTTGCGCTTCCTTGGAATCTCCACCGCTAGGGCTGCCGAGGAGGCCGGGCAGAATGCGTGCGGCCATGGCAAGGATGCGATGCTTCTGGCACTACCTACGTCTACGCTCGCAGATGGTTCCGCAACTGTGAAACTGGTTTTTGCGAAGCAGGCTTCAACCCTAACCCTAAACCCTAAACCCTAAACCCTAAACCCTAAACCCTAAACCCTAAACCCTAAACCCTAAACCCTAAACCCTAAACCCTAAACCCTAAACCCTAAACCCAAATTGACGAACCCTGTGGTCGCTGCGATGATCGGTGTCCTATGTCTCTTTTCGCTTCTTTCCCCTTGAGCCGCTTGCCTTGAGGACTGCGGTTCCGCGTTGGCCCTGCTGAACCCCCCGCCCCCCTTGGCCCCTTCAGGTTGAGGGTTTGGGGTTTAGGGTAGGGTTTAGGGTTTAAGGGGCAGTTAGTACGAAACTAATGGTAAATAGAGTTTCAGGATGAGCATGTGGGGGCGTGCGGGGGTTGGGTTTAGGGCTTAGGGTTTGAGAGTTCAGGGTTCAGCCTAGGGCTTGCCTGCGACTGTACTTATACCTACAGTTTAGTAATATCTGCACCCTAATTATTAGGTATAGCCCACGAAAGTGTAGGTAGGGTTTAGGGTTTTGGGTGTTTACCCTCGTTGAAGAATATGATATATACGGTGAGCCAATTTCCGGGGTCAACCTAGGGTTCAGGGATGAATAGACCGCAACGGGGACCGGGGGGGTCAGGGTCTACGGCTTCGAGCTTATTGGGGTTTAGGATTTTGAGTTTTTGGGGCGTTTGCAGCTTAGGATCGTGCATAGGGCGCCCACGTGGCACGAGAGGCAGAGCTGATGCAAGGCGCCTTATCCATGATGTCTGCAAACATGCCCAACTTCTTCGCCTCCGTGATGACGCACATCCTGCGACCCCCTTCAACCCTAAACCTTAAGCCTAAACCCCAAACCGCGGAGGCGCTGACCAGACTGAGTAGCATGCTTGGCCCATTTGGCATCCTATCCACGGCATGTATAAAACTGGACCCTCTGAAAAATCCTCCTGAACCCCAAACCCTAAACCCTAGATCCCTCTCAAACCCAAATATCATCCCTCTTATGCCGAATAAGGGATAGTATAAACAAATGTACAAAGGGCCTACCTAGTAACGTACCTCAAAGCCATCAGCCCCCAGCGCACCCCCACCCCCCAAGCTTGTCCAGCCCGAAGTCCGGTTTAGGGTTTAGGGTTTAGGGTTTAGGGTTTAGGGTTTAGGGTTTAGGGTTTAGGGTTTAGGGTTACCTGGGACTCTGGGACTTTATTTACCTACAGTTTAGTAGCAACTACCCCATAATTAGTAGGTGCAACCCATGAAACTGTAGGTAAAGAGAGTCTCAGGTAGAGTTTAGGGTTGCAAAGCCCCGCTGTCTTGTGGAACTCGCCAAAGATGAACAGGCCAGCGCCGGATACGAAGAGCAAGAACACAGCAAAAACAACACCTCGGCGCCAGCTTCGATCCGGCTTAGGGTTGAGAATCTTAGGGGATGACTCTGGATTTCGATTACAATTTTCAATTAAAATCGAGTTTAACACCCCCCCTCCGGGCGGGCCCGTGTCAGCCAAGGATATCATTTAACGTCGAGTTTAATACCTAGCAAGATGTCCTGGAGGGGCCTGGCGGGGTATTAACATCGATTTTAATTGATTTTGACCGCCTCCCGGGCCTTGGGGTATTAAAAATCAATATTAATGCTTTTCGCTGGGGGGTTCCGGAGGCTTAGGAGGCTTAGGGAGCTTAGGGCACCCAAGAACCCTGAGTTTAGGGCTTCGGGCTGGTGCGGCTAAGGGTGCTTGGGGTGTGAGGGGGCTTAGGGGGGCTTAGGGGGGAGGGCTTGGGGCTTGGGGGGGTTTGGGGCTTGGGGGCTGGTGCGTCAAGGGGCGTAAATGTTTGGGGGGGGGGGGGGGGGGGGGGAGGGGCCGGGGGCTTGACCCTTAACCCTGCATCATCTGTCTTATTCTCTGCGCTCGGCAGCAGGGTTGAAGGTTTAGGTTTCTCTTTCCATCACCCCCCACACCACCCCCCACGCCACCCCCCCCCCCCCCCTCCCTCCACCCCCCCACCCCCCCCCCCCCCCTCCACCCCCCCTTCCTTCCACCCCCCCCCACCCCCCTTCCTTCGAAGCAATCAAAATCGATTTCAATACTTTTCGAAGGGTCCGGAGAGCAAGATGAAGTTAAATCGATTTTAAGTGATTTCATAATGGGAAGCAATTAAAATCGATTTCAATACTCTCTGGAGTGGTCTGGAGAGCAAAATGAATTAAAATCGATTTCGAGTGTTTGTGAAGCGTGAAAGTCTGGACCAGGGTATGAAAATCGATTTTAAGTCATCACCAAATCAAAACTGAAGAAGGTATTCAAATCGATTTCAACGGATTTGCTGACCGAGTCAAGAAAACCTGGAAGCAGGTATTAAAATCGATTTTTATACAGAATTGAAATCGAAATCCAGGCTCAATCTTAGGGTTTAGGGGTTTAGGGGTTTAGGGGTTTAGGGGTTTAGGGGTTTAGGGGTTTAGGGGTTTAGGGGTTTAGGGGTTTAGGGGTTTAGGGGTTTAGGGTTTGCTTCGGAACATCTTGGGCTGACCGTCAATGCGAACCCCGAAGCCTGAACACCCTAAGCCTAAATCCCGAGCTCCCTCGATCCGTCATACATCCCTAAACCCGAAACCCTAAACCCGAAACCCTGAAACCCTAACCCTACATCCCCAACCTTACAGCCTTGCTCAACGTAAGCTTCGAGCCATCCAGAAATCTGGCGGGAGCCACGATCTGCATGACCTGCAGTGGTCAGGGGTTTAGGATGTAGGGTTTACGGTTTAGGGTTTAGGGTTTAGGGTTTAGGGTTTCGGGTTTGGGGTTTAGGGTTTAGGGTTTAGGGTTTAGGGTTTAGGGTTTAGGTGATAGCTCTACACAAACTACGAGAAACCCAGGGGTCGCGCGAGCAAAGATCTGACAAGAAAACCCACTTGCCTGGTGTGTACAACTCTCGTCTTGATTCTCAAGAATCCCAGTAAAGCTACATAGAGCCCTACAAGCCTACAAAGCCCGATGAAGCTCAATAAAGCCCCAAAAACTTTCTCAAGCCCCATAACACCCTCTAAAGCCCTAAACCCCTAATGGACAGAACCTACTGCGTACCTTATGGCGACTGAGGTAGCGGCCACGGCCGCCCCCCTTGGCGCGATCCTCGAAGGCCCTGTCTGTCCCACCGCCCTTTTCTTTAAAGAAACGCTGCAGGGCGGCGTAAAGTTTAGGGTGTAGGGTTCAGAGGCTTCAGGGTTCACAGGGTTGAGGGTGTAGGGTTGCTCGGCTTCAGGGCTCACAGGGGTTTGGGGTGTTCATAGGGGGCCATAGGGCCCAAAGGGTTCATACCTAGGGCTCATAGGGTTTATGGGGTTTATGGGGCCCACAGGGTTCATAGGGGTTCATAGGGTTGATTTCCCAGGCGCAGGATGTCAACAAGTTAGTTGAACACCCACCTGCAAGTTCCAGAGCCACAAGCACCCTCCATCCCCACTTGCAGCGTAGGGTTCCGTGGGGATCAACTATGGCCGGGGCCTAAGCTTAGCTTGAGGAACCATCCAAAAAATGCGCGCGCGCACACACACACACACATATACACACACATGTATATATATATATATATATTCTAGAGATACATATACATATACCTTATATATACACACAAAGACATTAGTGATAATAATCCTTGAAAATAGTCGCAACTATAGTTTGCAAAAACAACTCTCGGGTTCCTTGCTATGGGTGTGGATGGGTTGGGGGAAGGAGCATTCGGCCTTGGTTAGTTTTTGCAATGATTGTAGTTTATATACTTATATTATTAACGTATATATTCGAATTCTGTCACACCATTCGATATTTGTACATATTAGAATGTATAGATTTTGATTTGATTCACATTTGTAATTGTTATCATTGTTCAATGGCAAATGAAAGTATTTTCAAGATGTTTAATTCTACAGTATCTTTCAAATTGCAAATAGTATGCAATTGTTTATGATGTACAGTAGGGGGATCATGATAAGTACAAGAGCTCAAAAGACTCAAACAGCCCGTCATTTCTGAGAATTTCGAGGCAGTATTGAATTTCTTGGTTGCTTCCGGGCTTGGTTGGGTGTTTGGGGTAGTTTCGGGCTTGCAGAAGCAACAGGAAGGCAAGAAACGAGTGGCTTTTCCTGGTGGGCCGCACGGAGAAGCAATACAAGAAGAAGCTCGTGAGAAAGGGACCCCGTGAAGGCCAACTTGGAAGACCAACACGCGCAGAAGAGCCCGTTCTCATCTTGATCTCGCAAGCGACCACTGCTGCTGCACCACATATCTGCCACCCGTACAGCGCCATTCCCGAAATGAGCACGGTATTCTCGAAGTCCATCATGTCGGCAGTGTGCTCCCTGTTGCGCACTGCCAGCGCGGCAGTCTGCCCAGCCGCGCTTGGAAACAGCTACAGAAGACGTTAGAAGAGAGCAAGATGCCAGATGATGTCGGTGTCTTTGAAGTGTGGGTGGATGTGACAGTGCCATCCTTCACAATGTTAGGGCAAGTCCGGGGCAGCCAGAGAACGATGAGCCTTCGTCCCCCCGAGGGAGCACGTCCTTTCTCTTTGCACCATCTCCTCACATCTCCTCGTATCTCCTGCCCTTTCAGAGCAGTCCTTACCCTTTGTACCATCTCCTCATGTCTCCTCATATCTCCTGCCCTTTAAGTAAAATCTCCTCATATCTCCTCATATCTCCTGCCCTTTAAATTGGGGTCTGCAGGGCGGGGTCGCAGAGGCCGGCCACCTCTGCCTTGGACCGATTCTGCCGGGCCCGCTCCTTCAGGAAGGTCTCGAAGGAGAAGCTGCGCCCAGCCTTAGTAGCCCAGTAACAATGTAATAATAATAACAATAATAACAATAATAACAATAATAATAATAATAATAATAATAATAACAATAACAATAATAACAATAATAATAATAATGGCACCCTTTTTTTGGCTGCTTATAAGAAGCAGCTTCTTTTAAAAAGTGAACGCAGAACCTAAAAAAAAAGGGTAAAGGGTACCACTGGGCTACCAAGCAGCTGGTCGGATGGCTGGGCCCAGGTGCCGCGCCAACTCGGCCACTGAGCCGCTGGTTTTGAGGAGCGTGTCGTGTGCTGCCATGGCGAGGATGGAGGCCAGTGTGATCACCGTGGCCGTCTCCCCGGCACTATGTTTCGGGTCGAGGCCGGAGGCTCTGAGGGCGGTCGCGGGCTCCATGGGCAGGGCCTGTATGGCTCGCCTGGCTTCGTAGTTGTCCGTCTCAAAGTACCCCACGCACTTCATCCGCCTCGCCCCCTTGCCCCGAAGGCCGAGGGGACGAGGAAAGAGGTGGGCGCAAAGTTGCCGGAAGCACTCGGCCATCGCGTTCGCGGCCCTGCTGGGGGTCTCCAGGCCCCAAATCTTGTTCACGATCACCGGGCGCTTGTCTCTGCCATCTCCTGAAATCGAGTGCTTCACGGCGTCGCCGGTGCGCAGCTGAAGGGCGAACTGCCCCGGCTCCTTTCCGCCCAGCGCCCGTTCAACATCCTTCAGCAAGCCGTCCCGGGCGCCCATGGCAAAGTGGAGGAGGCAGCCGGCTGCCTCAGGGCTTCAGGGGGGTTCTTAGGGGGTCTTGGGGGGGTCTTAGGGGGTCTTCGGGGGTCCTAGGGCCTTGGGAGGTCTTAGCGGGTCTTAGGGGGTCTTCGAAACTCTTCGGGACTTGGTTTTAGGGGGTTAGTCTAGGAAGTTCCTTAGCTTTTTGATCTTAGCCTCCTTAGCCTCACAACCCAAACGTTGAACCAGGTTAAACTAACCTTACCTTTATACTCCCATAGAGCCATCATACGAACAACATGGTTAACATTTGCTTGGGCTTTATAGACGTGTAGATGAGTAAGGTTTAAGAGTTAGGGTTTAGGGTTTCGGGGTATAGAGACTGTGAGAAAGACGAGCGACGAAAAGGAAACATTCTTCATAAATCTTCATAAGGGGACTGTAGCAGATGCTCAACCAGCCTAAACCCTAAACCCTAAACCCTAAACCCTAAACCCCACACCACGGGCCTGGCCATTCCGAGGGAAAATCACACGAATGTCGATGTCCGGCAGCCCTTCGACAATGGGCGCAAAGGGGCTTAGGGTTTAGGGGTTTAGGGGTCTGGGGTTTAGGGTTTGGGGTTTAGGGGTTTAGGGGTTTAGGGTTTTAGGGCTTAGGGGTTTAGGGGTCCATTGGGCTCATCGGGTTCAGATTTCTGGCCAGTGTCTCCTCCCCCCCCCCCCACACACAAAAAAAACGCAGACAGTCCCACACACTGTTCCTGACTCCTGAGATGCCTCACTTCCCTCCCCCCCCCCCCCCCAACCCCTACCCGAACCCCTAAACCCCCTACCTGAACCCTAAACCCTAAACCCGAAACCCTAAACCCGAAACCCTAAACCCTATGCAACTTCGGAAGTGGTTCAAGACACTCCTCCCGGTCTACCTGGAGCACCCCACCCCCAGAATGGCCCGCCCCACGGAGAAAGCCAGAAGGCTTAGGGACTCAAAGCACCCCAAACCCTAAACCCCAAACCCCAAACCTGAAACCCTAAACCATACGCCCTGGAGCCCTAAACCCTAAACCCTAAACCCTAGCCCTAAACCCTAAACCCCACAGGCCCCAATCCCGAAAGAGCGTCTGCAGGGTTTTCTGAAACGTCCAAAGGGCCGATGCCCGAGAGGTTGCCCCACTTCCGCGGTAGCATGCCCCAGTTCCTCAAGGTTTAGGGTTTAGGGTTTAGGGTTTAGGGTTTAGGGTTTAGGGTTTAGGGTTTAGGGTTTAGGGTTTAGGGTTTAGGGTTTAGGGTTTAGGGTTTAGGGTTTAGGGCCATTTAGGGTAGGGTGCAGGGCTTTGAAGGTGCAAGGCTTATAGGCTTGAGGGCTCATAAGGTTGGGCTTGTTGGCTTTGGAAGGTTTGTTGGGCTTGGAGGTTTAGGGTTTGCGGTTTTCAGGGTGGAAGACCCTCTTCATATCCCCCTTAGACCCCCCCCATAACCCCCTTCTAACTCCCTTATACCGGGGGTAATCCCTAAACCCCAAACCCCAAATCCTAAACCCTAAACCCTAAACCCTAAACCCTAGATCCTGAACACTTGGAAGTGCAGAGTTCTACTCGGTATTGCTGCCTGTGGAGTGGTTGAGGCTCCTAAGAATCCCTCCCCCTTCCCTCACTCCCTACGAAGAGCCGGGTTTAGGGTTTAGGGTTTAGGGTTTAGGGTTTAGGGTTTAGGGTTTAGGGTTATAGCATTTTTACTGTGATTATGCTAAAGACTCTTCTTACTCTGAATACGATTAGTACTCTTGGCACTCTGAGTACTCTTATTGCTGTTATGACTACGCTTACTATTGATGTTGGTACTGCTTGCTATTTCTGCAACTACTCTCCTACTTCTCCAATTCTAATGAACATTACCATTGTTTATGACTATGATTCGTATTGTTGTTTTCTTCGTGGTTCCATGATTCTTATGCATGTGATTGTTGTCATGATTATCACGGTTGCTACCATTACATTACGAGTATAACTACTACTCCTCTTCAAACCCGAAACCCCAAACTCTAAACCCTAAACCCCAAAACGTGCGACACAGGCGCCCGGTCAAGTGCATCACGGAAATGTTGCTGTGGGCCATGGTCATGGTGGGGCGAAACGCCTCCTGGCCAAGGGAACAGAGCGTAGGGTTTAGGGCCGAGGGTTTAGGGTTTAGGGTTTAGGGTTTAGGGTACAGGGTACAGGGTTTAGGGTTTAGGGCTGTTAGCGCTGTGATGCTTTTTCAAGGTTGGGTGAGGTTGCAAGGGTCGAGGGTTCAGGGGTTTAGGGGCTGAGGGGCTTTAAGTGTCGGGGGTGGTTGGGCTGAAGCCCTAAACCCTAAACCCTAAGCCCTAAGCCCTAAACCCTAAAGCCCTAGGGTTGGTCCTGGAACTTGCCGAAGTTCCACAGCTCGTTTTTCTCCGGCTTGCAGGCCTCTCCCTCCGCATCCTTCCTAGGCAGCCCAGCAACCACGCCGTCACACTCAGGGGTCCGGGCTTCAAGTGCATCCCTAAGCCCGAAAACCTATAATCTTAAGGGTTGAGGGTTTGGGGCTCAGAGGTTTAAGGTTGCACCTAACCCTAAGCCCCAAAGATTGAACCAAACCCTAAACCCTAAACCCGAAACCCGAAACCCGAAACCCCAAAAGGGCTTACGGTTGCACATAGACCTAAGCCCCCCCCAAACCAAAAAGGGCCAACAGGGTGCCAATGGGGCTGCCGGGCTTCCAGTTGAGGAACCGCGGCTGGACGCCTTCTTCAAGCCTGCTGCTCTGAAGGAGGGGTTTAGGGTTTAGGGTTTAGGGTTTAGGGTTTAGGGTTTGGGGTTTGGGGTTTGGGGTTTGGGGTTTGGGGTTTGGGGTTTGGGGTTTGGGGTTTGGGGTTTGGGGTTTGGGGTTGGGGGTTTGGGGTTTGGGGTGCTTAAAGTTTAGGGCACGCGTCATGGAGCCTTCATTTGTGGCATTCTACGTGAGCGGGGATCCACGCGGGCACATTGGCAAACCCTAACCCCCAAACCCCTACCATAAATACCTAAACCCTAAACCCCTAAACCCTAAAGCTTTCATTATCCTAAACCCTAAACCCTAAACCCTAAAAACCCTAAAACCCCCAAACCCTAAACCCCCCCCAAACCCTAAACCCTAAACACCTAAACCCCTAAACCCTAAAGCTTTCATAATCCGTGCCCAACTGCTTTGGCCACTTCATCCGGAAGGCCCTGCCCGACACCATCGCCACGTGGAGGGACTGTTCGAGGCCTTGCCTGATCTGGGCATTTAGGGTTTAGGGTTGAGGGTTTAGGGTTTAGGGTCTAGAATTTAGGGCGTGGGGCAAATATTCTTGAGGCTTGGGGGCGTCGGGCGGAGATGGCAATGCTCAAGGTGTTCTGTTTCGGGTTGGACCGGAAAACATTTCATACCGACACCCTAAACCCTAAACCCGAAACCCTAACCCTAAACCCGAAAACCCGAAACCCTAAACCAGACACCCTAACCCAAAACCCAAAGCCCGAAACCCTATAACCGAAAGCAGCTTCCAAGCAAAGCCTCCAAAACCCTGGTCCTGAACTTCCCGAAGCCCTGCAACCCTAAACCTTGCACCAAAGCACCCGAAGCTCTAAGCCCTAAGCAAACCCTAAACCCTAAACCCTAAAACCCTAAACCCCACTAAGGGCCTAAACCCTCACACCGTCATGACTGATTAGTAAGTACCCCTAAACCCTAAACCCTAAAACCTAAACCCATAAACCCTCATACAGTTATACTTGGTTGTGAAGTACGTACCCCTAACCCCGAAACCCTAAACCCTACAACCTAAACCCTAAACCCTCATACAGTTATGCTTGGTCATTAATTTCGTACCCCTAAACCCTAAACCCTAAACCCTAAACCCTAAACCCTAAACCCTAATACAAGTATCATTGGTTCTGAAGTACCACGAACCTCCAAGCAAGGACAAGGCCAGGCCGCAGGAGGTTTCCCAGCCCCTGTCCTCGCGCGCCCCGCACGTGGACCAGCATGCGGGGCCTTGGGCTTCACAAGTGGGGTTTAGGGTTTAGGGTTTAGGGTTTAGGGTTTAGGGTTTAGGGTTTAGGGCTTAGGGTTTCAGGGTTTAGGGTGTAGGGTGTAGGGTTGCAGGGTGTAGGGTGTAGGGTGGTGGGTTTAGGGATCCAAGATTTGGGGCGTTTAGGGTAAGTTTAGGCTTTGCGCTTTGTAGTGTTGTCAGGTTTTGTGGAGTGTGGTCAGGGTTGCGGTCAGTCAGAATGTGTACCCTGCAATATAATACTCACCCCAACAGGGTGCCCTCAGACCCCTACCAAGGGGGCAGGTAAACCCTAAACCCCTATACCCTAAACCCCAAAACCCTGAGCCCTTAAATTTATTGGGTTGTGAATTTGGTGATGTCGCGCACAAGACAGGGGTATGACATGTCATAGGAGTTTGGGTTGTGCATCTTGCGGTGTTGCGCACAAGATAGGGGTACGATTTGCTATGGGCATTGGTCGTGTATGTTGTGATGTCACACACAAGTCGGGGAACGAACTGTTACGGGCATTGGATTGTGTAATTAGTAATGGTGATGTCACACAGAAACAAGGGGTACCTGTTGTGATGCCACGCACCAGAGTAGGGGTACGATTGGCACTGGGCTTGGCATGTTGTGATGTCACACAAAACAGGGCGTAAAGGCATTGGTTTGTGCGTGTTCTGATGCAGTACACAAGATGAGGTACGATTTGGTTTGCGTTGTTGATGTTTTTTCTGTCGCACACCAGACACGGGTACAAGACAGGGGGTATATACCACTTTACCGGAGGAATCTTTAGGGTGAGGCATTGTTGAAGCGACCATTTGAGCTCCAAGCACCCCAACAGGCCATTTTAGGGTTGGCAGCCTAGGGTTTTGGCTGCACTGCAGGGTGGTGTGTTTAGGAGCTCCAAACAGCCATCAACAACAAACTCCAAACTCTCAACCCTAACCCCCGCCCTGAACCCTAGGGCCCCAAAACCCCAATAGGCCCTAAGCTTTTGAAAAAGGCTCGGGTTTTATTTGCTGTGGTTTTTCTGAAGGTTCCAGGGTGTAGGGTAGGGTCTCAGGCTTTAGGGTTTGACTTGGGGCTAGACCACATTTTCTCGTTGTTTGCGGGACTTGACATGGGCCGACCCCAAAACCCTAAACCATGCTTCGGGAGGTTAGGGCTGGAGGTTTCAGGATCTCAAGACGTGGCCCGCAAGTCAGCAGCCGGCTCTTCCGCATGTCCTCATGCTCAAGCTCAACTTCCCCAGCTCGTTCGCTCGCCTCGCTCGCCTCTCTCCAGCTCGGTTGCCCTGGCAGCTCGCTCAAGCTCACGGCGACGAAGCTCGGCCGGCTTGAGTCTGAGCATGCTGAAGAGCCTGCTAAAACCTTAAACCCTAAACCCTAAACCCTAAACCCTAAACCCTAAACCCTAAACCCTAAACCCTAAACCCTAAACCCTAAACCCTAAACCCTAAACCCTAAACCTCACCAACTTCCTCAACTCCTTCAAACTCACGTCGCCCAAGCTCGGGTTCAAGCTCACGACGACGAAGCTCAGCAAGCTTCTGTCGCCACGCTGCTCCATGGATTTTGAGCCTTTTGGCCTATTGGGTTTCTAGGGTGCATGAAGCCCTCAACCCCAAACCCTAAACCCGAGTAAAACTCCCTGAAACTCCCAAGCCTGCAACCGGCCGCAATGAAAGGCCGTGCGGCGGGGACGGGCTGCGGCGGCAGGACCCGTTGCCCTGGCCAAAGCTGCCTTAGCTATCCCCGAGCTGAAGAGTTTTATTTTCTAGGGTTTAGGGTTTAGGGTTTAGGGTTTAGGGTTTCGGGTTTCGGGTTTCGGGTTTTAGGGATCCGAGGCACTGGGGTGCAGGGCTTGGGGCTTCAGGGGTTCACATGCAAAAAGTGAGCGCCCATCCCGAAATCCCAAGAAAACCCTCACCCTACAAAACCCTACACCCGAAACCTATAAACCCTGACCCATAAAACCTAAGCCTCAACCCCAAAAGTACAGGAAGACATCCGATGCAGCCTTCGCGGGGAGTTCCACGCACACCGAAACCCCCTAAGCCCTGTGAGCCCTCAACCCTCAACCCTAAAAACCTAAAACCCTAAAACCCTAAAACACTATAACCCTAAAACCCTAAAAACCTAAAACCCTTATACCCTAAAACCAGGAGTTCTGAGAGTTTCAGCAGAGTCAGCAGAGGGATTCAGACGAAACGCCGTTTCGCAGCTGCACCACCATGAAGCCCAGCCAGATTCGCTCCTTCATCGTCAGGTTGTCCACAGCCTCCCACATCCCTGATGAAACCTGGCAGGGAAACCCTAAACCCTGAACCCTGAACCCTAAACCCTAAACCCTAAACCCAGAAGGAAGCCTGGAGCCACTGAAGGGGCCCGCAAGCTGCCCTAAACCCCTAAACCCCAAAACCAAAAAAAACAAATCTTTGGACTTGGGATGTTCCCCCTTATACTAACAGTCCTTCATCGGGATCATGGTACCCCCTAGTATAATCCCTGTTCAGGACTGTTAGTGTAATGTTGTATGCTGATTAGTGTGCCTCCCCCCCCCCCCCCCCCCCGGAATTGTGAAAAAGAAATTTCAAAGGGGGTAGTCCAGCAGCTGCCCGAATGCCGTATAATATACAAAATTGCTCCCCCGGAATTATACTTTTTTGAGGGCTCGTTGGGTTTGGATCCAGAGGCCTAAGGGCTGAGGCTTCCAAAACCTTGAGGCCTGAGCTTGTCGGGCCCTGAAATCCTCAGTCTCCAGGCCAGCCCCAAAGCTAAGATTTCCTTATAACATGCTTCTGTACCGAGGCCAGGCAATCAAATTTCAAAGGGGGTAGTCCAGCAGCTGCCCGAATGCCGTGTAAATATAAAAAGTTTGGTCCCCCGGAATTATATATTTTTTGCGGGCTGGCTTGGTTGGGATAGATGGATCCCCTTCAAATTCATATAAACTCATCCCTTTTAAAATCATGTGGATCCGTTTTAGCATCATATAATCCCTTCCAAATTCATATAAACTCATCCCTCTTGAAATCGTATGGATCCCTTTTAATTTTCAGTTTCACCCCTTTGAAAAACATATGGATCCCTTTTAAATTCATATAAACTCATCCCTTTCAAGATCAAAGCCAGACCCCCCCCCCCCCAAATTGCCCCGAGCGGAGTCCATTTGTTGAGGGGGGGGGAGGGGGGGGGGGGGGGGGGGGGGGGGAGGGGGGGAAGGGGGGGGGACACACTAATCAGCAGACAACATTAACGGGGAACATCCCAACCCTAAACTTCCAACCTAAAACCCAGAAGCCCCTGAGAAGCCCCTCAGACCCTGAACACCTGGCAGGGAAAGCCGCACGCCCTGTCGGTGGCTTCTTGCAGGCTGCCGTTTCCAAAGGCCTCCAGCAAAGCTGGAAACGTCCTGTTGCCGAGCCTGCGGCACACGGCTCTGGCGACTTTGGCCAGGCCAGGCGCAGATGAGGCCGCTTCCCAGATGTCCTTGGTAGACCAGGGTTTAGGGTTTAGGGTTTAGGGTTTAGGGTTTAGGGTTTAGGGTTTAGGGTTTAGGGTTTAGGGTTTAGGGTTTAGGGTTTAGGGTTTAGGGTTTAGGGTTTAGGGCAGGAACCATCTCGCAATAAGGGAAATTACCCTTTGTTTGGCTGGCTACTTTACAAGGGGACCCAGAACCATTTAAAAAAGGGGGAGAAAAGGGCACCACTGGGGGGGCTACCAATACTATACTCCCCTTAGAACCTTAATAAAAACAATATTGTTAATATCCTCTTGGGTTTTATAAAAAAAAAAAAAAAAAAAAAAAAACAATTCCCGAGGGGGCTACCAAGTTTCCTGCAACGGAAGCCTCACCAGATCCTCGTCGGGCATGGCCTCAGTGTCATTGACGTCCGGACTCTGCGCGGTGTCTTCGGCATCCGCAGGCTCCTTTGGAGTAGACCCTGGAAGAAAAGTGTATTTTTAGGTATCAGTAGCTATTTGAAAACTTTTTAGGTATAAGTAGCTACTATAGTACTTTTTAGATATACGTAGCTATTGTAGGAACCCAGAACCAAAAAAATGTATTAAAGTACAGCACTCCTAGGCTCTACACGGCCCACGCCGTGGTCTGCGCCCGCCGCCGCGACGAGCGCGACACCGACTGCGTCAGCTGCCTGCTCGCGGAAGGAGGCAAGGGACCTTGGTAGCCCAGCAACCATATCAAAAATGAGGGTACCCAGTTTGTGGGGGGTTGGGTAGTTTACAAAGGAACCTTGAGCCAAAAAAGGGAAAAGGGCACCACTGAGCTAACAAGGTACCCTTAAACCCTAAACCCTAAACCCTAAACCCTTGGCGACCAGGCGACGTGGCTACAGTCCGACTTGCCGCCGACGCGAGCCAGAGCGCCAGGCTGGTCAAGGCCACGGCCACCAGCAGGCATCGCCGCAAGAGCGCCATGACTCACGAGCGCGGAAGGGGCATGGGCCGCCCAAGCCATCTGGGTTTAGGGTTTAGGGTTTAGGGTTTGGGGTTTAGGGTTTGGGGTTTAGGGTTTAGGGTTTGGGGTTTAGGGTTTAGGGTTTAGGGTTTAGGGTTTAGGGTTTAGGGCTTTTCTTTCTTTGGGGCTCACAGGAAGCCCCTTCCACAGGACACCATTCACACCTCTATGACCCCAGAACCCTAAGTGGGCATGCACATCTGAGCCCCTCCGCGATCTGCGGAAAGCTGTGAGGGCTTAGGGCTTAGGGTTTAGGGTTTAGGGTTTAGGGGTTTGGGGTTTAGGGTTTAGGGTTTTGGGGTAGAGCCGGCCTTAAAACCTTGAAACTCTAGATTCTACTGTTGCAATTATGGAAGACGAAACCCTTCAGCCTATTCACTGTTGCAACCGTCCTAAACCCACAGCCCCGAAACCGTCCTAAACCCTAGACCCCTAAACCCGCTTCTAAACCCCAAGCCCGTAATCCCTAAACCCCTCATTTAGGCCACTACAGCTCAGGTATAGTTGAACCTCCTTAGAAAAACCCCTTACAAGGCGACCTGTTTCCTGCCATGTTTCTGGCAGCTCTCTGATTGTAGAAGTAGGGGGCTGCTACTCCCTAAACCCTAAACCCTAAACCTTAAACTTGAGAGGATTTAGGGTTCTGGGGTTACGTCTAGCGTTTAGGGCTTCGGGCTGGGAAGCTTAATGAACAATTAGGCGTTGAAAGCTCCTCCCTTTGGGTTTCGGTCATATACCCGAAAACACGTATATCAAGGGAGTCATACTCGGACCCCTAAGGATGTAAACCCTGAGAGGTTCCCTTTTACGTACTCTTCCCTTGGATGATCTTTACAAAGGGTCCCCAAACCCAAGGGTACAACCTTAGGGTCCAAAGTAAAGTCCCATGAATATAAGACTTAATGCCAAAAAGGAGACGAGACTATTTTGCAGTGACGATTTGGGGGCTTGTGAAAATAAGGGACCCCTAACATAGACCCCCCAAATAGTACGATTCGCTCAAAAGGGCCCCCCTAATAAGGCACCCCCGAATATCGTAAAGTAAAGCACCATTTCTCTCACTGAAGCGGTGAAACCCTGAGGTCTCTATAGGAGATTCGCAAGCTATTCTCGCGAGCCGCAAGCCTCTTGAGGGCGGCGGCCAAATTCCCATGTGCTTGAGGACCCTAAACCCTAAACCCTAAACCCTAAACCCTAAACCCTAAACCCTAAACCCTAAACCCTAAACCATAAACCCTAAGCCCTGCCCTAAACAGGGTGAGGGTTCAGCCGATGCTCCCTCCTTCAGATGTCCCAAATGTCTTCGCAAACCGGAGACCTCGGCCCAGCTTGTGACAGTTCATGTCCCCCTTTTTTGCGTTCAGGGTTTAGGGTTTCGGGTTTAGGGTTTAGGGTGTATAAGTTTTTGAATAGGGTTTATAGAAATCAGGGCTTAGGGTTTGTGGTTTAGGGTTTAGGGTTTAGAAAGACGAAGCACTGTTTTCGGGAGAAGGGTTGAAGCCATGTGCAGGAAGATGGGCCCTGGAGACGTCCCTCGCCCCCTGAAACCTTTCAAAAACCCCCGAGGCCGATGAAAATTCAGAATATAGGAGCCTATTCATAATACCAACTTTGGGTAGTTGTTATCATGATTGTGCATTGGTATAAGGCTCCCACATTGCCGGCCTCTTTCTGAAGAGTGCCCCAACCCTATACCGCAACGTCCTAAACCACAAACCCCAAAGCCCCAAACCCTCAACCCTAAACCCCAAGCCCCAAACCCTAAACCCTTAACCCTCCCAACCCCCCCCCCTCCCAAAAACCAAAAAAAAACAACCCCCCCCCCCCCCCCAAAAAAAAAAAAAACACTAATAAATCCTCCCCAAAAAAAACAAAACACAAAAAAAAAAAAAGAGCCCAGCGGCCCTCCCGGCTCGAAGAGACCCCAGGTCTGATCCCCGCAGCTCCCATCGTTCGCGGGGCCCATCTTCCACTGGTAAACCTGGGGGGGGCTTGGTAGGGTTTAGGGTTTGGGGTTTAGGGTTTAGGGTTAGGGGTTTAGGGTTTAGGGTTAGGGTTTAGGGTTTGGGGTTTCGGGTTTGGGGTTTGGGGTTTGGGGTTGGGGTTTGGGGTTTGGGGTTTAGGGTTTGGGGTTTAGGGTTTAGGGTTAGGGGTTTAGGGTTTAGGGTCTAGGGTTTAGGGTTTAGGGTTTAGGGTTTGGGGTTTGGGGTTTGGGGTTTGGGGTTTGGGGTTTGGGGTTTGGGGTTTGGGGTTTGGGGTTTGGGGTTTGGGGTTTGGGGTTTGGGATGGTAAGCGCTTAGGGTTGAGCACCCAAAGGGCTGAGGTTTCGAATCTTAACACTCATTTGATCCCCAAGGAGCCAGCAAGGGGCCCGTCTGCGCCAGCGCCTGGACCTGGTTCAGGGCTTGGGGCTTGGGGCTTGGGGCTTAGGGTTTAGGGTTTAGGGTTTAGGGTTTAGAGTTTAGGGTTTGGGGTTTGGGTTCAAGGTTTAAGGTTTAGGGTTTCGGGTTCAGGGTTGAGGGTCCAGGCCCATTAAACAACAGCAAGCGCTTACACAGCACCGGGGTGGCTAGAGTTTGCTCAAGAGCCCAAAGCCTTTCTTTTGGTAGGGTACCGAAGAATCATACCAGGGGGTTTAGCGTAAGGACTCACAAAAAAGTAGGCAGTGGGGTTCTTAAGGTAGTCCGTGGGTGCCGGATGGTCTTGAGCTCTCATGCAAGGTCGCGGACTAGGGCGAAAAAAGTCAGGAGTTTGACTAGACTTAAGAGTAACCTAGAACAAAACGGCGCCTTTTGGTCTAAAGGGGCTTACAAGGGAGCCGAACCCCTAAAAAAGGAAATAAGGTCTGGTCCCCCGGACTTTTTCGGAGGCTGAGGACCTTTGGGGTTTGCCTTGTGGGATTTTGTGCGTTTTTTCGGGGGGGTTAAGCTTTGGATTCATGGTGTCTAGGGTATCAGAGAAGGTGATTTAAAAAAAAAAGACGTGGTCACACCGCCTCGGGGCTCGGAATCTTCCCCGGGCACTGGGCTCAGCACCCCAAACCCGGGGGGTACACTTGGAGGTTCATGGTTAAAAGCGGGGATATACACAGGTCAAAGTATAACCCTAATCGGTGATAACCTTATTTGGGGTCCGAATAACCCTACCTGTAACTACCCAGGAACCATCAAGCACGGCCCTTTAGCTTAGGATCCAGGGCTGAGGGAGGTCTTGCGGCCTTGGTTGTTTTGCGGGTTCCGGCGCTCATATGGGGAATCAGAGATCCACCAGTAGCTGTAACCCCTAAAGCCCAAACCCTAAACCCTAAACCCTAAAACTCTATCAAAACCCTCTTTTCATGGCTTTAGGCCTCGCGGAGGGTGCTGCGCCAGTATCGGCACATGTTCTCCAAGCTCGGCGGCCGGGTGTTCGTGGCGCTGCACTTCTGCGGCCTCCGAACCCACTACGCAGGAGCTTTTTGGTTTATCTAGGGTTTAGGGTTGAGGGTTTAGGGTTTAGGGTTTTGGGTGAAAGGTTTAGGGTCAGGGTTGAGGAAAACTTCGGTCGCGGAAACCCTGCTTTCTGATTCTTCTCTTGTTTGTTGTTCTTCGTTGGCTATACCCCCGAAGGAACCGTAGTGAGATACTATGTTTAGTGTTCCCTCTACCCTAAACCCTAAACCCTAAACCCTAAACCCTAAACCCTAAACCCCAGACCCCAGACCCGACCTTCAGTTCTGTAGTGCTTTGGGTCTCAAGGTTGTGGGTTGAGTGGGCATCTGAAGCTCCTTTTTGCCGGGCTGAACGCGTGTGCCGCGTGCCCCAACACCCCCAAAATTTTTAACATCAAGCCCTAAACCCTAAACCCTAAACCCTAAACCCTACAGCCGAGGCTTCGGCCACCCTGTCTCCGACACGATGTAGCCATCAAATCCCAGATCCTGGGAGGCTGTCGGCGCGGCTTAGGTATGGGCTTCGTGTGAAGGGTGGGCAACTTTAAGCCCGAAGCTCACCCCAAAGCCCTAAACCCACAACCCTGAACCGGCGAGGGTTAGGGTTGAGGCTGTAGGAGCGGGCTTGGGGTCTCGGTTTTAGGGTCGTAGGGTCAGCGGGGGGTCCCAGGGGTTCAGGGCCAGCCGGCTAGCCCCCTCAAGAGAAGCTTGCTACGGCACGGAAGCAAGCTACGTATTACACTGCATCTCAGAGTGCTTCATGGTGTCCGCTTAGTTCGGGGCTTCCAACACAACAGTTCTCAAAGCCTCTAAGGGGCTGCGGTGGTTTAGTGTCTTGGGTTTGGCCCTGAGTTTGGCGGCAGAAACCTTTGCAAAGGAATGGGGCCGACTATGTAGAGTTGGATCAATCCCCCAAATCCATGATCCCCAAACCCCAAAAAACCCAAACCCAAACCCTAAACC